ATGTAAGGACTGATATCAACAGGATGGATCTGAAAGCTCTCGCTCCGTTTTCACACTTAGTTTTCTGCTTTTTGTTTTAAATCAACAAACGTGCAATCCAAAATGTCATGGTTTGTAATCAGATGATCTGCATCCACATATCGATGTATCCTTGGGCAAGACACTTAACCCCAAGTTGCTTCTGCTGCTTTGTTGGTCGGTGTATGAATGGATTAGTTAATACTGTTGGACCCTTTACAAAGCAGCCTCAGCTCTTTGAACTGGTGTGAATGGGAAGGTGTACCCGTGGTGTAAAATAACTGTGAGTAGTCAGAAGACTATAAAAGCACTTCACAAGCTCAAGTCCATTTATCATTTACTATTACATGTATCTATAAATTATAGTCTCACTTCAAGCTAACACAAAAAAACATTGTTTTCATCACATAAAATACAGTCACATTGAAATTAAGCACAGACTCTCGATGCTATTTCCATACAGATTATCACCAGCCTTGTCCTTCAAACTGACTTTTGATCATTAAACATGCCGTCTTTTTAAATGCATCAGATTCTGCTCATCATGTTTCTCAGCAACATCTGTCTAAAAGCTCATACAGTCCTCATATGACAAGTGAGACGTCACTACAGGAAAGGCAGCTTGTTCATGTCTACATGCTTCATGTGTTAGTCCTTTAGAGCTGCTATAAAACCTGAAAGTGTTTCACACTCCTCTGCCTTTCCTCTGCCACGTGCACGTTTGTGTTCAGAGCCACAGGGACAATCACTTTTGAAAAGTTTGGATTTATAATTGGAAGTTTCAGGGCGGTTTTAGTGTGCGGACGTGTGTGGCATTTAAGTGCGGTCAATCGAACTGCACTGTGCAGCAGGAGTTGTTTTCCTCTCTTTATGAAGAATGTGTGAGGCTATTATAAAACGGCTGCATTGATTAGAGCTTTAATCGTAAACATCATTGCCGATGGTTGTGGTTTAATTGCCCAGAATGCATCGCTGTGGCGGCGCCACTGGTGTGAAGCAGACATTGATCACAAAAAATGAAGTGCTTGCGACTCAGGACAGGGCCCATCTACTCTGAAATAGAAGTATAATGAGGGAGAGGAGGGGGGAGAAGAATAATGAGAGGAGAAGGAGAGAAGCAAAGGAACGTCGATGATGATTGGAGAGGCAGCAGCACAATCAAGTGGCTCAACTTTAACCAAACAATGCTGTATGTGTCTGGGGGGAGAATTTGTAAGAAAATATAATTCTGAGGTTTTTTTAAAATTACTGACTCTATTCTCAAACTCTGTATTCTTTAGTTAACGTGCAACGTGCAGGGGTTCATCTTGTGTCATGTTTAAACCCCCACCACTAGATGGCCATGTCATAATAGATCTTCACCTATTTTAATCTTTCATAAGAGTAAAACATTTTAAAAGGACAAAAGTATGTAAAAAGAAGTCACTTATAAAACACAAGTCTACCAAACAAGCAGGATCGTGAGTGGTGCAATTTATTCCTCTTCCTTGCAATATGGCGATATACATTAAACTGTTACCCCTGTATCGTGATATGTATCATTTAACCAGATTATTGCAGATAAACGGCAAACTCATTCTTTACATTCATAGTTTGGTTGTAAGATTTATTTCTATGCTTTTTGTGTCTTTATTGGAGAGATAGGACAGTGGACAGAGTTTGAAATCAGGGTAGGAGAGAGTGGGGAATGACATGCAGGCAGCCCAGGTTCAAATCTGACCTGTGGCTCCATTCCCTCATGTCATGCCCCACTCTCTCTGTCCCCTAATTTCAGACTCTATCCACTGTCCTATCTCTACATTAAGACATAAAAATCCCCCAAAATAAGTCTCAAAGTTCCATTCATAATACAACAGGAGATAATCAGCATGATCTGAGTAGCTGGTGCTGTCAAACTATACAGGTCTGAAGGTATGTGTCTATCCTGTTGTTATTCAGAATTACTGATTGGCCTACTCCTTGAGGGGGGGAAAAATCAGCATTTTGTCATGAAGCCCTGCCTCCATACTCCAACAGAATGCCCAAACAAAAAGATTAAAATGATTGTGTGTGTCTTTGTGAATGTAACTGCAACAACAGCTGGAGTTAAGATCACTCGACTCTCTGACGGGGGTTTTTCACAGCAGACATTTTGACTCCTCATCGTAGAAAAAGCTCAAGTGTTACTAATAGCATTAATGATAGCTCTGTTCTTTTCAAGTGTCTCTTGACAGTGTGACAGTGACTCAGCGCGCACAATACCATTTGATCATTTATGCCTGGGCTTCTACTGTGACATCTTAGTCAACATGTCGTTACTGTACGTCATCCTTTTGTGTGAGACAGCAAGAACATATATTATATATGTGGACATTATTCAAAAGGTTAAATCTCCAAATATAAACCATTTTTCAATACTGCACTTTTGGCAGCAGTTGAACAGGAAGTCTATATTATTGGGCAAGCTTCTACAACACCTGAATTCTGGCAGTTACTCCCATTTTTTCTGCCAGATGATCTACATCAAGCAAAGTAATACTGATGGAGAGTTTCTATGAGCTGCCTTGGTCGGGTGTCAAATGTTATATGGGGCCATTTAAGGACATTGAGATACTTCTCCCTGTAATCCAGCGTGTCTCTTTCCTGCTATAAGTAGACGCTTGAAGGTTGTGTGCAATTTGGAGCAGGTTTTTACAACATTTCTCTCAAAAGCTTTTACTGTTTCTCTGTTTTTGCACGTCTTTTCCCGTCTCTGCAGCCTGGTCCGTCTCTGTTACAGTGTTTGCTGCTTTGGTTTAACCGTGTCCCATATGGCTTTCAAAAATCTCCCCCTTATTCACTCACTCACTAGTCCTCATTTTAAGACAGTCGGTGGATTGCTTTTTAGAGAGCACTGGTTTCAAGTATTTAATATTTATCATCAATTTGTGTTATTTCTGACAGATGTAGTCGCACAACTGCCTCTTAAAGTTTGACACATTGCATTACGGGATTTTGAGCTCAAAAAAGTTATCAAAGCCTTGGTATTGTTTTTATTCATTGTGAATGTTTTGTGGATTCAGACTCAAATAAAAACGTACAGTGTGTCGCAGTTTAAAGGTGAGCTTTTGCACCGCCCCTTATGTTACTTACAATATGTTTTCTGATTCTCTGTCAAGCCTTCATTGCTGAGTGAGTTGGTTTTAACAAGTCCTGCAGCCCATGTGATCACAAAGGACATTTTTTCCCACCCCCCTAATAAAGTTGTAGGAATTTCCCCTTCTCATGTCTACATGTCTGTCCTTGGGAAAAATGTGGAACTGTAAAACTGTTGTTTTTTGTTAGGTTTTCTCATGAGATCTTTGTTAAGTTTAAAAAAGTAAGCTTCAAAGTAAGTAGTTATCCTACTTACATTGTGAACATGAGTTGAGATATTTTTTTAGACTTAAAAGAGGTTTACTTTGAAAACTAGTCTCCTGTTAGACCCATCCATCGCCCACACCTCAAACATGTAAAAGCTTTTGCTCTTTTTGGTTTTGTACCGTACCTCCTTGCATTCATCATCATAACTACAGCCACAAGTGATGGCTTCATATGTAAATATGAGGGATGTAATAGGCTTAAAAATGTATATGTTTGATAAGGAAAGTCTCAATGATTTAGTAGAACAAAACCTTAAATAATACATATTACACTATGCTGTGTAGCCTGCAGTAAAACCTTGAACAATTTTTTGAACATATTCAAATTACATTTATTTAATTTCTGAAGTCTGGCTGCCATTTTTTCTTCAGCTGACACAGATACTAACATAAAGAATTTCAATGTTGTTATGATTTGTGTCTGCTTCTTTGTGTAAATTTCACACAGTCAGTTTTTCTCTCAAGCTGTGTCAAATTAAAGTGAAAGTGAGATAAACGCCACTGAGCTCACAATAAGCTCAGCTCCGGGGTTGTCAAACACTTTAAACACTCCATAAGAAGCTATTTCGTGCCTTCTTGTAATGCAAACAGCTGGAATAAACAGCTTGTAATCTGTTTTAAAAATCTGTCTCTCATCCCTGAGGGTTCGGCTCAGCCTGTCAGTTTGACTAAATGCTTGTGAGAGGATTTTGCGGTGACGCCATTTGCGCTTTAACCACCACAGTGCTTGTTAGAAGTGATTGTTTGATTTCATGTGTAAGTACCGTCTTGATTATGTGTCCCTTTGCATTTGCAATCAAATGGCTCGACTTCATTAATACAAATTTTATTGTTGTAGGGCCGGATACAGGTAGAGGCTTTTAGCAAGATCCTGTTTATGTATGTCTTGTCTCCACATGATGTCACTATGTCACGTGAAATAAGTCAGCACCTGTTGTTGGGGTACTTTGGCTTCTATTTTGTGCAGCGGAGGGACATGGAGCTGCAGTGTCCATATCATGTCAACAATATGATTTATACCTGTGAGATGAAATCAAGCATAGCAGATATAAAGTTCATGGGAAATACATGGGAAAGCTCACTTTGAGGTTGAAATAGTGCTTCATTAATCAGTAATGATCTTAATCTTAATGATGGTTCCAACTAGGAAGGAGGGTTGACCTCAAGGGTGAGGCTTACAATACATCAGCTCATTATAGCAGACAGGTGGTACGGTGTAAGGTGGCATCTTTCTCCTGCTGCCTCCTGGCTCAGCCCTTTGATAGAATGTGAAATTACTTGTGAAAACCTTCTCAATTACATATTAAACAGTTCTGGTCTTGATCCTGTCAGCGAGCAGAGAAAACCTTCATCTTTGTGTAATTATCTCTGTTCGCTGCCCAACCCCCACAAAATCACAACTTTAAGGAACCCTATAAGCTTATTATCTCACCAAGATCTATTTAACATTTTACACACCTCCACCACCTCCATCTGTTATGTAACCTTACGTCTTTCACCTTGAACTTGAACCTTTGCATGTGACAGCCTCTGCCTGGTCCACCCTTGCCACCTCGCTCAGTCCCCTCCACCGCCCCTCTGTGTGTTGCTCCCTCCAAACAGGTGGGCGACCAGATCCTGGAGGTGAACGGACGCAGCTTCTTGAGCATCCCGCACGATGAGGCCGTCAGGGTCCTGAAGTCATCGCGGCACCTGATGATGACGGTGAAAGATGTTGGCCGTCTGCCGCATGCCAGAACTGTGGTGGGTGAGACCAAGTGGATCGCCAGCTCACAGATCGCTGAGAGTTCGGCCAACAGCAGCGTGGCAAGGTGAGTGATGGTCTGGTTAAAAAAAAACTCCAAAAGAGTGCTGTTATTCTGATTTTCTAGTGATTCTACTACATTTATAATGGAACAAAATAGGGAAAACATGGACTTAGTGTTGTGAGGAACATCACCCATCAAAGAGGGGTTTTGAAGCTGAATGATAGACAGTCACTGTGATGTAAAATGCTGACTCAACCTTACTGTCATAATAGGCAAAAAGTTGGAGTTAAGGACTTAAGCCTCTTGGAAAACGGCTACATTGTGCCCATCACCATCGACTCAGACACGCCCCTAATTCTTAGCTTTTATAATCAAAACAGATGAGTAAAAACCCCAAAATGTTAACTTCAGTGATGTTAGTTTGTAAAGTGAAGAAACTCAGTATCGTAGCAGGAAAAAAGGCTGAACAGAGATAATGAAGAAAACATCCTCTGTTTCTCAGACTTCAGATAACACAGTCTTTAGCCACCTCTTATTTGCAGACATCCATCTTTCAGATGGCAGAATTCTCAGTCACGTATTTTTGAAGAGTGAATAGTGCAGCTCTGTGGGAAAAATGCCAAAGCCTCTGTCAAAATGCCACACCTGAGTTAACTCCTCTGCAGCTCGTGACCCGAAACAAAGGTGATCCCCGACAACCAAATTAAAGTCTGATGTAAATGCCAGAACAATTTTCTCATCAAGTCAATATCACACAACCCAACAGTGCAACAACTCAGAACGTGTAATGCCTCTCTGATTCTTCAAAAAAACAAAGGGGCCTATAGAAGGTATTTAGCATTTAAATTGATGAATCATTTCAGGTCTAAGGTGTTTTTTATTTCAAATTGTTGTTAGTGTTTTTGAGAAAGACAATGCGACTTTGTAGCCTGTAGCTTCTCTTTTGCAGTATGTAACAGTTTGTGTCACTTTTTGATAGTTTTGTAAGGATTTTAGTCAGAACTTAAACTGTTTTTTTTTTAAAATGTAGGACTCCCACTCCTTTCAGTAAAGATACACTAATATTATAAATACATTTAAATATATTTTTTTACAGGGGATGCAGATTTTATTCAGAAATTGAAACTATGTGCCAAGAGAAGGCTTAAAAAGTTCAGAGCTGAAAACCTGTTTGTATTAAATGACAGAAGAAGTGAGTTGAACATTTGGGTGATGTTCCAGCTGAAAATAAAAAAATATGCCATGACTGTCAATTATCTGTTAGGACAAAGGAGCAGCCAATGAGGAGCCATTTGAAATAAACAGTATGGAGAGAGAATGAATGGATGCGTTGGTCTCAAAAGTCAACAAGGATAATTTGAATTTGAATCTCAAAAAAGGTCTTCATTCAAACACGCATTATGTTGAGTCTGATGTGTTTTGCAGGTGGGACTGAAGTGTTTTTGGACTCTGCAGGTTTCATTTTACATTTTTCTTTATTTGTAGCATGAAAATCAGAGCTTTTATAGTTGTCACTTTTACTTATGGATTTACAGCCAAATACTTCTTGAGCACTTAACGATCTGAAGTCATCTACTCGAGCCATTTCACTCGGACTGATTTTCTAGCTTGAAAAAATGAAGCACATTTCAAACGCTTCCTTTTATGTTTGCAGAGAGAGAGAGAGAGAGAGAGAGAGAGAGAGAGAGAGAGAGAGAGAGCGTTTATGTGTGTTTGTGAGATGCATTTTCACGTCTGTGCTTTAAACTTAATGAAAAGCCTGACTGGGAGACCAGGGCACTTTATGTTTCCTGTAAGAAAATAAACCTCTCTGTCTGTGCAGCAGTCTCTGCCATATCTGTGAAAAACATTAAAGCTGTGATAAAATTTGAAAAATCTGTGGTCGTGTGCATTTATCATCCTTCAAGTATGTTCCAAAAAATGAAAAGCTGTCGGTCAAGCTATTTCAAATCCTCTTTCCATGCCTAGTTCCAAAGTGTGTGTGTGTGTGTGTGTGTGTGTGTGTGTGTGTGTGTGTGTGTGTGTGTGTGTGTGTGTGTGTGTGTGTGTGTGTGTGTGTGTGTGTGTGTGTGTGTGTGTGTGTGTGTGTGTGTGTGTGTGTGTGTGTGTGTGTGTGTTCTTCTTCATTACAGCAAAATCTCATTATAAAGGTCTCCTCTTTGTACAAAATGCTCATCAATTTGTCTGCTACTTCACATGTTTTAGTCGTACATTTTTAAGACCTTCATAGCCAACACCGTTTAGCATTGCTTCACACTTTGCCCAGTGGCTACTCAAGGAATTGCAGCCAAACATTTTTGTCCTGAGGCCAGAATGTTGTTCCCTACAGGCAAATGTAATAAAGGCAAGGCAAGTTTATTATTTCAACAAGGCAATTCAAAGTGCTTGTAAAATAAATTAAATAATGACTTTTGTTATCCATGTAGGCTTTGAATTTTCAAGAAGGGGAAACACTGAGCATATGGATTGTAGACTGCATAACTTAAAGTAAGGTTACAGCATCTTATTGTAGAGGAAAATAAATCTCACTGTCTTTGGACTTAATACTAATTCTTTATTGATATTTATGCATGTGTATCAGTGTGACTAAGAGTTGTCCAATCCTCAGAGAGAATGCACAGAACAAAGTAAATCCCATGTGAATATGCATGTTTGTGCGCTAAGTGAACAAGTGGATTTATGTGTCTGTGTGCATGTGTGACGAGTCTGTCCCCATGTGATTAATCCGTCCCCTTCATCTGTTTCTCTGCAGCTTCTCGATGGACAAAGGAGCCTCTGCGGCAGGAAAGGTAAGATTCACAAGAACTCATTTCCTTTTGTGTGTGTGTGTGTGTGTGCGTGCGTGCGTGCGTGCGTGCGTGCGTGCGTGCCGACTACATTCAGGACGGTGCGTTAAGTGTTTTTCTAGAGATAAGATTATCTGTCTGTTAACTCCACCTCGGTCCAGAGAAGTGGTATTGAAGATTGACGTGTTCAGCTGCACTGAACACTTTGAGGTCAGACTTTTGTCACACATTTAAGGAAAGTTAAGAAAGGCTCATTGATTGTTAATGTTTGGGTTTTTTTTTTTTGGATTATACCTGGGACTAAACATGATGTCAGGTTGGACTCTGAGATTCAAAGATGAGATGATGTCCCAGCTTTGTGTATCATGCTCCTCCAGTGCTCTATGTGAGTGAATGAGCACTAGTGCTGTCATTTGAATTTAGGGAGCTAGTTTGGGTGTGATAGGTTTTTAAGAAGTAAGACTGTGATCAGCAGTGTTTGGTATCTGTCTATCAGCATATTGTGCTGTCAGATATGGTCTGAACAGCCCATTTTTTGGTCTTTGGAGATCAACTGTAAAGCATTGATCTAAACTAAATCCCCTAACATTATTCTCTGCGCTTGGTATGCATTATGTTTTCAATCTCATTTTGGCTGCTTGCTGATTGAGGTACTGATAGACACACATGATTTTATCTACCTTGTATGCCAGCTGGACCATGGAGGTTATTTTGTTTTGAAATTAAAATATTATAATGCGTAACGTATATTGTGTTGGCCTTCATGCAGATGCAGACAAAAGATAGTGTGCTTTTCATTATGCAAACATTCAGAGGGTATTTTAGACTTCAGCTTTGGTCTACATGTATATCAGGACTGATGTTTTTTGATGCAGCAGTTTTTAAGGTCCATGCTGCATCCTACTGTGTTGGATGGTATAGTGCACGGCATTTAATTATCTGTTAATGTCTTACCCCTTTGCATAATTTAAACCTCATTGTATCTACCTGCTGTATTGGTTAAAAAATGCATTTGAGGCTGATGACAACGCTGAAGTGACGCTTATTATGCATCCCTTGTCTTGACATTGTTAATGCCACCAGACAATCAACTGCAACCTACCAGCTAAACTGCCCTTGCTTTATTTCCCTATACCATGAAGCTGTCTTTAGTGCACATACACGGTGCTTTCACTGCCATTACTGCTGACTTTGACTGTGACTTTGCAGAGTAAGAGACTGTGTGGGAAAGGAGAAATATTAAGATCGAGGAGTTGCAAGAGACAGCAGCTGCCGGAAGAGAGAGAAAGGGGGCGAGACTGAGGAGCGGACGCGGAGACGGAAAGCTCCCTTTTCATTATGGAAGCCCTGATGGACAGTCTTCTCCTGACAGGAGGGATGCAATGTACTGCTCCAGCTTTAAGAGGGAATGCAGAGAGACAATGGATGTGGGACGCATTTCCTGACATTTCCTGCAGACTCGGGTCCAAAGAGGTTTTAAAAGTAATGTAAAGCCTTTGTTCTAACCTGGTGCTCTACAGCACAGTTTTAACGTGCGCAGCAGTGGCCAAGATTACCTGCCCTTTATTTTTGTCAGCGGTGCCCTTTACGGATGAAAAAGTGAAGATTGATTGTCGGGGCAACAGTAACTGAACATGATCTCTGAACCAAAGGAGTATCTACAAGCCCTTAAAGATGTTGAAGTATACCCATGACATGCATGCTACAAAATCTCTCTACTCACCAAACTCACAAATGTTCATTCAACTCATCAACTCAACCACTGAAGAATAAAATGCTATATTGCTGAGTGATTTAACACAACATCTCAGACATTTATGGTATTTGTCTGTTCATTTACTCTGTAAAAAAACTGGTAGCAACTCTTCCAAATGTGTCTTCCATCTCTGTGAATTAGTACAGTCAGGTAATTTGCAGGTGAAGATGGACTCAACAAATCCCTCTATTGACATTTAAATTACACACACACACAATAACACAGTATCAGTGGTGTCAGTAAAAGCATTGCAGCTCCAGCAGCATATGAATAATTTCATCAGAGGATGTCAGGCCTGTATTACAAGCAGTATTACAAACTGTTGTATTTGAAAGAACGTGTGAGATTTTTCCGCAGCCTCCAGTAGTCAGCCGGGATAATTTATGACCACTTGGTTGCTTTCATCCTCTCCAAGCATTTACAGGAAAACTTCCTATCGAGCCTCTTGTGCAGTATGTTTCAGAGGAATAAGTCTGATGAAAAACTGAAAGACCAGCGAGGAATGCCCAACAGCGGCTCTTGAGGTGGGACTGGATTAGAAAAAGATTACAGAGTTTATAGCACAGTGGGGTCAGAAAAGCAGGTGTAGTGTATTTGTCACTTCTGGATAGGGTTGTCACCATGCAAGATTTTAACTAGGATGCAAAAGTCTAATGATATGGATAGCCACAGTATTTGGATACCACGGCAACAAAAATAGAAGTCCTTGGCACCCCAAATTAAGAATTTGTTTTTGTTTTTAATGACCAAGATTCAATTCAATTCAAGTCAATTCAATTCAATTCAAAAAATTCAAAGGCACACAGAGCAGTAAATTAAGTAAACAAAACATTTTAACCTAAAATGAGATGGCAAGTAAACTCCTGCACACTGTCTAAATTGCACAAATGTATTGGTAAATGATAAATGTTGCCAATGCATTGGTGCAATTTAGACAGTGTCCCCTCCTCTGTCACCTCCTTTGCTCTCTTTCTGTTAGAACTGTAACTTTTTCATTCTTATCAGATGCTTAAATTACTTGAGAAATGTCAATATTTTCTGCCTTATGAATTTTAATGGACTAAAGCTGCTCTCTCTTTTGCCCTCGGTTAGAATTATGACTATTATGATTATTATGAAGATAGAAGTTGTTGTACTTTCTCAATACTGACCATTTAGTTAACAAACACTGCATTGTTTTTACATTTAGGAAATGGCATTTGACCAATTGTTCTCAAATTTTCTGATTAGTAAAAATGCAAACCAACTCTATCCATGACTCTACTATTATTATTATTATTATTATTATTATTATTATTATTATATTATTATAATATATCTCTTTTAGCTGCTTTAGCCTGCTCTGATTTCCATAGATGGGATCAGTAACCTTTTTATGACACTGTTCAATCCACTCAGGTTTTAGAATAGAATAGAATAGAATAGAATGACTTTATTGATCCCAAACTGGGAAATTGTGGTGTTACAGCAGCAGGTTATCAGAGCAAATAAAACAATATAAGAATAGATACAAAGTAAATAAGCACTTAAAATATAAAAAATAAAAATAAGAGATATATACCTCAAGGATTTAACTTAACATTCCTACTAGTTTAAAAAATGAAAAATGAAATACACATTTATTAAAGCAAAACTCACATAAACATTGTCATCAGCTGTCAGACATCAGACTGACAGGTCATTAAAAATCTCTGAATGTGGGGAGAGCTCTATCTATCCCTTAGTTTCATTAAATAAGATGGCTATGTTTTTAGGTTGGTAGATAAACAGAAAGACTGATGGAAAGTCAGTGATAAAAGAAGAAGAAGAAAGATGAATGATGTCTGAGAGTGGTGAAAAGAAGCGTGATAATAGGTGAAACGGACTCCAGATTGCAGTGAATAAATACATTTTGTAGTCTTTAGTTAATCATATCATGGTACATCATGATATCTGATTGTCTGGCAATATGTTATTTATCCCTGAATTTCTGTATCATGAAATTATTGTTATCATACCACTTACCTCCTATCATGTTGTACCATGACTGACCCTGCAACTCCCACCCCTGATAGCTGGATGGATGGATTAGATAGATTAGATAGATAGATAGTCCCCCCCTCCCCCCTCCCGCTTCACTGCCCTCTACATCCATCTATCATCTGCTCATGGTCACTGAAGTGATTCTGATCCAGACCTGTTATTACGTTGTCAACCTTTATATTGTTGCTCTTGTATCATGCTGTTTGAACAGAGCTGAGTATCCATTCAAAACCTGTGTCCTTTAGACCGACCTTGAAACAAAAACAACATGTTGTAATATGGGGTCTTCTGATCTCCCAGACAAACACTTATAAGCAGTGGGTCATGGTGCGTATATGCATCGGGCGCATTTTAATATGTGTATAATATGTATTAGATTCACAGATTGATGCACAGATTCTTATGAGGGCTATTATTTATTTACAAAGTAAACTTCATGCTGTGTTAACATGGATCTAAAACCATTGAGATCATAAACTTATAAGTTGTAAGTGTAGTTAAGGGAATGGCAACACAACATGCAAAAAAAGACAGGTCACTAAAGATATGGTTTTCTGGTTTTTTGATGTAGCGCTTGTCTGGTTTCACAGTCCTGACCTCAATTCAACCTTTTGTTCACTTTTTGCATTTCACTGTTAAGGTGCTTTAATGTAGAAGCCCTGCCAAAAGTATCCCTAGCAGCTCCAGAAATCCCCAAGAAGAATGTGAGAATACCAAGTGCTCCTTGTTTGGCATGAAGGGGACTGGAATAGAAAGATGAAACCACATTTTGTATTATGAGAGGCACAGTGTACAAGCTCAGAATGAGCCAAGACAGCTGAAGTACATGTAGGTGGACTGGTGGCTGCTCTGAATGCATGACTCTGTGTGTGTGTGTGTGTGTGTGTGTGTGCGAGAGAGATAGAGAGAGAGATACACAGAAACGGGGGAGAGAAGGGCCATTAAGAGGGAAAGATATGTAGCAGCAGGGCTTTAGGGCACGGCAGCAGGGAGGGAGGTGATAATTCACAGTCCTGCTGCTGCTCCATGTGAGCCACACAGCAAGACTCACGTTGTGTCCAACACATCTGCAGCATAAATATTTATCTCTCTTTGAATGATCTGCCGTTGATTGTGCTGCTTAAACATGCTAAGAGGGTTGTGCTCTTATCTTCTGCATCCTCTTGTCACGTCTCTGCTGCCCGTAGATTCAAATGATCCCAGCGGTCACATCGTCTGTCCTTCC